TCAGGACAGTTGGACAGTGTTGAGACTGTCTATGAGCCAATCCTTTATGCACTGTGTCAATGGGCAGTGAGCTCAGTAAACAGCTCAGAAACTGGCCACCGTCTACAACAACTACAATAACAACGGGGGAATGGAATACTAATAATAATCCTTGAATTTGATATAGCGCCTTATCACATCATTGAGACATCTCACAGTGCTTCACAGGATATACTGTAAACTAATTTGACTGTGTATTTTGTGGGTGAAACACAGCAGCCAGTGGCGCACAGCAGTGTCCCCACAACCAGCCATGGAGTGAGTGACCGATTTTATTTGGGGGATTGTTGGCCAGGACACCGGGAGAGAGAGAGAAACTCCTTTCTCTTTACAAATAGCGCCACAGGATCTTTAACGTCCACCTGAACAGGCAGATGGGACCTTGGTTTAACGTCTCATCCAAATACGGGCACCTTCCGCCCCCCCCCACCCCCAGGGCGGCATTCAGCATCAGCTGAGACTAAGTGATTCCAAGAACTGACGTGGCTTGACCAACCTTCTGACTCAGAGGCGAGAGTATTAACATTGTTGGCCACAAACTGGAGTTGAGACAGAGTCTGTCACCTCTTCTCAAAGGATATTAGCTGGAGGCTGAAGGAGGAGGGATATTAAAGGGTGCATGTATGCGGGGGGGGGAGCGGGAATAGACTGGGGGCTCATGTGGAGACAAACCCCACTACGTAGTTGAACGTCGCAAGACATTTTGCACACAGCAAGGTCCCACAAGCAGCTGCGCGGTGACGGAGCGGTTAATCTGGGGGATTGTCGGCCAGGACATGGGCAGAGAGAATCTCGCTTTTCCAATAGCCTCACGGGATGGTTAACGTCCACCTGAATGGGCACAGACGGGACCAGTGACTCAGGGTTAGAATAAAAACTATACCAATCTACTTGGTGCTGGATTCACTGCAAGTGTAGCCCTGAGGGTAGGGTGGCAAAGCCCTCGCTCCTTCAAATCCCCCCCCCCCCATTGCTCTCTCTGACCCTCTGCTGCTCACTCTCCCTCACCCTCCCTAGCCCTCCCTCCCTCACTTCCCTCCGTCTCTCTCACCCTCCCTCACCCTCCCTCGCTCCCTGCTCTGTCCCCGATGCCCAGTCGGTGTGTGCTCAGGCCAGTCGGTGTGTGCTCAGGCCAGCGGTGTGTGCTCAGGCCAGCGGTGTGTGCTCAGGCCAGCGGTGTGTGCTCAGGCCAGTCGGTGTGTGCTCAGGCCAGCGGTGTGTGCTCAGGCCAGCGGTGTGTGCTCAGGCCAGTCGGTGTGTGCTCAGGCCAGCGGTGTGTGCTCAGGCCAGCGGTGTGTGCTCAGGCCAGCGGCGTGTGCTCAGGCCAGCGGCGTGTGCTCAGGCCAGCGGCGTGTGCTCAGGCCAGCGGCGTGTGCTCAGGCCAGTCGGCGTGTGCTCAGGCCAGTCGGCGTGTGCTCAGGCCAGTCGGCGTGTCGGTGTGTGCTCAGGCCGTCGGTGTGTGCTCAGGCCGTCGGTGTGTGCTCAGGCCAGTCGGTGTGTGCTCAGGCCAGCGGTGTGTGCTCAGGCCAGCGGTGTGTGCTCAGGCCAGCGGTGTGTGCTCAGGCCAGCGGTGTGTGCTCAGGCCAGCGGTGTGTGCTCAGGCCAGTCGGTGTGTGCTCAGGCCAGTCGGTGTGTGCTCAGGCCAGTCGGTGTGTGCTCAGGCCAGTCGGTGTGTGCTCAGGCCAGTCGGTGTGTGCTCAGGCCAGTCGGTGTGTGCTCAGGCCAGCGGTGTGTGCTCAGGCCAGTCGGTGTGTGCTCAGGCCAGTCGGTGTGTGCTCAGGCCAGTCGGTGTGTGCTCAGGCCAGTCGGTGTGTGCTCAGGCCAGCGGTGTGTGCTCAGGCCAGTCGGTGTGTGCTCAGGCCAGCGGTGTGTGCTCAGGCCAGCGGTGTGTGCTCAGGCCAGTCGGCGTGTGCTCAGGCCAGTCGGCGTGTGCTCAGGCCAGCGGTGTGTGCTCAGGCCAGCGGTGTGTGCTCAGGCCAGTCGGCGTGTGCTCAGGCCAGTCGGTGTGTGCTCAGGCCAGTCGGTGTGTGCTCAGGCCAGCGGTGTGCTTCCATGGTGCTGGTGTTGTTGTGTTTTGGCTGCTCTCCTGCTTTGCTGCCTCCTGTTTCCCCGGATTAAATTCCAGAGCTCTGACTCACACCGTCTGCTCCCAACAAGAAGAAGGGAAAAAGAGTTAAACTTCACATTCTAAACAACTTCATTCCCCACTCATTTTCCTGTATGACAGCAACTGGAAACTTCATGTCAGCTCAGTCTCTGGCTGTCTGTGTGCCTTCTCTGTGTCGCTCTCTCTCACCTTCTCTGTCACTCTCTTTCTCTCACTGTCTGTGTCTCTCTCTCACTGTCTCTGTGTCACTCTCTCTCACTGTCTGTGTCACTCTCTCTCTAACTGTCTCGGTCTGTGTTTGTGTCTCTTTCTCACTGTCTGTGTCTCCCTCTTAAGGTTTCAGTGTCTCTCTGTGTCCGTCTTTCTTTCTCTTTCTCCATCTCTCTGTGTCACTCTGTGTCTGTCTGTCTGTCTGTTGCTGTGCTTTTCTCACTCTCAGTGTCTGTTTCTCTCTTGTCAGCCTTTGCTTTTCTCTCTCTCTCTCCTCTCTATCTCTCTCTCTCTCTCTCCTCTCTATCTCTCTCTCTCTCTCTCCCGTGGCTGCGTTCCATCACCGGACTGCATTGTGGACATCGGAAAAAACAGTTCACATGTTCCACCCTCTCCCCCCCCCCTCCCCCCCCCCCCCCCCCCCCCCCTCCCCCTGCCCTGTATCCTTCACGCTCCAGCTTGGACTCCAGGGGTGTTGATGTCATTCCAGAAAGCATAACGCTGAGCCGTGAGGTGCGGATTGTTAGAAGCAGCCTTTACCCTCTGTGCACTCCCTCTCTCTCTCTCTCTGCCTCTCTCACACACAGTCAGTCCCCTGTCTCTCTCTCTCTCTCTCTCACTCCCCCCCTCCCTCTCTCTGTCTGTCACACTCTCTTCCTCTCACCCTTGCTCTCACCCTCTCTTTCTCTCCCTTGAACGTTTGGATCCCTGAGCTCCTCCGAGCCGGAGCTGCTGAGCACACAGCGCTTCTGGCTCTCCGCTCTCGTGTCGGAAGCTGATCGAGGAGCAGTGAGGGAGGTAGGGCTCTACAGTGAGGGGAAAGGTGTGAGCACTGGGGAAGGGGGAGGCTGGAGCACTGGGGAAGGGGGAGGCTGGAGCACTGGGGAAGGGGGAGGCTGGAGCATTGGGGAAGGGGGAGGCTGGAGCACTGGGGAAGGGGGGGGGGGGGGGGGGGGGGGGGGGGGGGAGGCTGGAGCACTGGGGAAGGGGGAGGCTGGAGCATTGGGGAAGGGGGAGGCTGGAGCATTGGGGAAGGGGAGGCTGGAGCACTGGGGAAGGGGGAGGCTGGAGCATTGGGGAAGGGGAGGCTGGAGCATTGGGGAAGGGGGAGGCTGGAGCATTGGGGAAGGGGAGGCTGGAGCACTGGGGAAGGGGGAGGCTGGAGCATTGGGGAAGGGGGAGGCTGGAGCATTGGGGAAGGGGGAGGCTGGAGCACTGGGGAAGGGGGAGGCTGGAGCATTGGGGAAGGGGGAGGCTGGAGCATTGGGGAAGGGGGAGGCTGGAGCACTGGGGAAGGGGGAGGCTGGAGCACTGGGGAAGGGGGAGGCTGGAGCATTGGGGAAGGGGGAGGCTGGAGCACTGGGGAAGGGGGAGGCTGACACAGCAGAGGGTGAGCTGTCAGTGTGAGAGGGGAGGTGGGGGGCGGTGAGGGGGTCGCTGACAGAGAAGTGGGTGCTGTTGTAGCGGTGGGGAGGGATGTCTCGGTGGGGGAGTTGGTGAGAGCTGTTTGATGGTAGAATATGTTGATGAATTACTTTCCTGTGGCAGTAACCTCAGTGATCGCTGGTGCTGGACAGGTAACTCGATGCTCTCCTGCGCTGCTTTAGTCGCTTGTCCTCTCGCTCGTGGGGTCAGTGGATGTTGAGCTCACAATTCAGACTGATGGATGAGACCTTAAACCGAGGTCCTGTCTATGCCTTTTAAGGTCAGTTTAAAGTCTCATCCCGCATTCCCTGTTGGAGTTTATCCCGATGTCCTGACCAGATTAATCACTCGTTTACACATCAGCTATTTGCAACATTTTTGTTTATGAAACAGTCACTGAATGTATAAAATGTATAAAAGCATCAATACCACACGCCTCTGTTTATTAACAGTAAGTAAGAACCTGGTTGTTAGTCGATTGGTGGATCTCTTTTCTGGGGGTAATAACTCCTCCACACCCCCAAAAAAATTGGATCACTTCAATCCACGGCTGTTTGTGGGGACACTGCTGTGCGCAATTGGCTGCGGGTTTCACCCACAAAATATACAGTCAATTCGCTTTACAGTGCACCCTATGAAGAGCTTTGAGACGTGTAAGGATATTATTATAATATAAACTCACAACTAGGAATCCCCTTGTGCCCCAGTGCCTCTCTACCTTTCTGATCTCCTCACACTCTGCTCAGCTGCCTGGGGTTTGCTGCATGTCCCCAGACCCCTCCCTCAGCACCACCAACCATGGCTTCACATTCCACACCCTAACCTGTAATGCCCTGCCTCCACCCCTCCATCTCCTTCCTCCACCACTACCCACTGCCTCCGCTCGGCTGGCCTCCAGCCTCCTGCATGTCCCTCGTGTCCTCCGTTCCACCATCGGTGGCCACTACGCCCTGAAACTCTGGAACACTCTTCCTCTATCCTTCCGCCTTGCCCCTTCCTGCCCCATCTTCAGATCACACCTGAAGACCATCCTCTTCGACCATGTCTATGGTCACTTCCCCCTCCCCCTGGCTCGGTGTCAGGCTGCCCTGTATGAAGGGCACTGTAAGAAAGCTGTTGTTAAAGGTGATTCTCACCACCAGCTGGCACAGCAGGGTGCCCCCCCTACCACCCCCAGCGAGTCCACCCTCAGCCACCCATCTCTCTCCTGTCTCCTCAGGTGTGATTCACACCCAGGGCCCACTCGACGGCAGTCTGTACGCCAAGGTCAAGAAGAAGAACTCGACTGATGGAAGCTTGGGCACTGGCATTGGCAACGGCATTGGGAACGGCACCGCCCTCTCCGCCATCGCCAGCAGCACTGCCCTCCCCGAGATCGCCAACGGCAGCTCACTCTGCGGAATCGCCAACGGCAGCGCTCTCTCCGGCGTTCCCAACCACATCGAGCACACGCTATCAGTGAGCAGCGACTCCGGCAACTCCACAGCCTCGACCAAGACCGAGGAGCAGTCGGCAGCCGCGGCCCAGGGCATCACTCCGGAGGAGAAGCAGGAGCTCGAGCGGCTGCTCTGTGGCTTCGGTCTCGCCAACGAGCGGCAGATGCACAACATGGCTGCCAGTGGGGGGTGCGGGGCGGGAGGCCGGCAGGTGCTGGTGCCCGCCCTGGTCCACGTGAACGGTGAAGGAGCCCTAGCACTCGGCGCCGAGAGGGAGACCGACATCCTGGACGATGATCTGCCCAACCAGGACCTGAACAATGTGGACGGTCTCTCTTGCCTGACCAGCCCCAGCCACACAGCCCAGCACGGCCTGCTCACCACCCTCCACACAGACTACCCCAAGCCACTGCCCAGGCACCACAGCCTGAGCCAACTGGAGCAGCGCCAGGGAGAGGACATCAGGCCCTCACTGCCCACTGCTCACCTGGCCTGCACTCTGCCCAGCTGGCAGCCACAGCCCCAGCTGGAGCTCTCCTACCCCCCGGGGCACAACGCCATGTACCGCTCCCAGTCCTTCAGCGGCCCGCAGAGCAGCCAGTGCCAGGCTGGTGCTCGCCTGCCCCAGACCCCTGCACGCAGCACCAGCAGCCGAGAGGCCGTGCAGCGGGGGCTGGGCACCTGGCAACAGCAGGCCCCCCCGGGAAGGGCTCGATCCCCCTCACAGCAACCGGAGGCGACCCTGGAGATAGCCATGCCCTCCCTCAGGACACAAAGCCCCCACCACAGCGCCTCGGAATCACAGCTCCAGAGCCACAGCATCCCGGAGTTCCCCCGTATGGCCTCCCAGCAGGAGATTGAGCAGTCCATCGAGGCCCTCAATATGCTGATGCTGGACCTGGAACCGTCCATATGCCTGCCGCCCGGGGGGGTCTCAGCACCGGAGAGCAGACCAGGCCGCTCGGACCCCTGGCAGCCCCCACTCAGTGCCCACGCTCTCGGCCTCCAACACAGGCTGACTAATGGCTTCTCTGCCACTCCAGGAGCTGGCACATACACTGTGCCCAGTCACCGTGCTCCAGCCAGCACCGAGCCAGCAGCCACCTACAGCGGGGGCAGAGCGCTGGCACAGCCGGCCTGGGGCAGGGACCCCTGTACTGAGCGCCAGCCCAGCCCTGGGCAGCCACACAACCTCTCTACAGCTACTCCCTCCACCAGCTGCCCACCAGAGCCTCTGCCCAGACCGCCGTCAACAGCTCCTCATCCCCAATCCCCCTACCCGTCTCCTACCCCTCCCTCACACCCGCCACCCAGCCTATGCCCATCTTAGCCCCGGGCACGTACCACCAGCCCGTCAAGTCTGCCAGCTTCGACAGTGCCGGCAGGACCCCCGAGGACGAGCTGTTCAATTGGGAGGGGCTGGTCGCTCAACGTGTGGCAGGTAACTACCTGCTCGCTCTCCATCTCTGTCTCTCTCTCCATCTGCCTCTCTCCCTCCATCTCCGTCTCTCCATCTCCCCCTCTCTCACCCCCTCCTTCTCGATCTCTCCCTCTCCTACTCTCCATCTTGCTCTCTCCTCTCTCTCTCTCTCTCTCTCAGTGGGTGTCTGAGTGTCAGACTGTCTGATTGTGGTGTTTGTGAGCAGTGAAATGGTCTATATGGGGATTGGCTGAAATCTGGGCTATGTTGAGACCTCACTGACAGCGATTGCTATTGGAAATTAGTTGTTGGATGACGAGGCAGTGATGCCCCTCTTCCCCCCCCCCCCCACAGCACAGCTCCCCACAGCACAGCCAGAAGATCTTACACTGGCATACAGCAGTCATAAAGAAGATCACAGAGAGGTTAGACCGAGCCTTTGACCTCTCTGATCTCATCCTTCTGCACTCCCTGCCTTCACCCTTTCCCAATTCCAGCATCAAACAGTTTCTCAAATGTCGCCTTCAACCCCCTCCACACCCACTTCCTAGTGATCCCATTCCCAGCTGGCGATTCCCCCTCAATGGAAATTCTTCCTGGTTTCTGTATTGACAGAGGAGAGAAGACAGTGAGGCTGATCCCAGTGTTAGAGACAGAGGGGACAGTGAGGCTGATCCCAGTGTTAGAGACAGAGGGGACAGTGAGGCTGATCCCAGTGTTAGAGACAGAGGAGACAGTGAGGCTGATCCCAGTGTTAGAGACAGAGGAGACAGTGAGGCTGATCCCAGTGTTAGAGACAGAGGAGACAGTGAGGCTGATCCCAGTGTGAGAGACAGAGGAGACAGTGAGGCTGATCCCAGTGTTAGAGACAGAGGAGACAGTGAGGCTGATCCCAGTGTTAGAGACAGAGGAGACAGTGAGGCTGATCCCAGTGTTAGTGACAGAGGAGACAGTGAGGCTGATCCCAGTGTTAGAGACAGAGGAGACAGTGAAGCTGATCCCAGTGTTAGAGACAGAGGGGACAGTGAAGCTGATCCCAGTGTTAGAGACAGAGGGGACAGTGAGGCTGATCCCAGTGTTAGAGACAGAGGGGACAGTGAGGCTGATCCCAGTGTTAGAGACAGAGGAGACAGTGAGGCTGATCCCAGTGTTAGAGACAGAGGGGACAGTGAGGCTGATCCCAGTGTTAGAGACAGAGCAGAGGAGATAATGTAATGATTCATTCCCTTCTGTCTGGATTTTAAAATATCCTGAGACACAGGAGCTGTGCAGCAGCAGACAGCGGGAATGTTCCCCTGTATCCCAGCTTGTACCTCACACACAGGAGCCGTCACTGAGACACACAGGAGCCGTACAGCACTGAACGGGAGGGAATTGTTCCATGGGGGACTGTGCAGGGAGTCTGGCCTGGACACAGTCAGCTTGTTTGTGTAAAAATCTCAGCCAGACCCTTGTGGCGGAACAATCTCCTGTTGTGTTTAATAGTAGCTCTGGAATCAAATTAGTAAATATTGTACTTCATCCTGTTTCTGACACGGAAATGTTTCCAGACCCAGAGCGAGAGGGCTCGAGTCTGTGTGGAGAAACAGACACCCGCCCCCCCCCCCCACCCCGAACTCTTAAAGGTAAAAAGCCTCAATCTCCACAAAATACACAGTCAATTTATTTTACAGTATATCCTGTGAAGCGCTTTGAGACTTCAAATGGTGTGATAAAGCTCTCTATCAAATGCAAGGATTATTATTATTATTGTAAATTGAGACTATAGAAACCTGCAATCTTACAGCACAGCTGTAGGACATTTGGCCATCAGGTTTGTGCCTACACATTCAGTCGCAAACACACACACTGTTTTACCTTCTTTCTCATTCCCTTTTAAACGCTGTAACATGTTGTGCTTCTATCAGTGGTTTTGTTCAGCTGTTCCATGTTTTTAAGCCACTGTGGAAACAGTCCGGCACTGTTAGATACACCCAGGCAGCAGGATAAGTGGGCAAAGGGGCAGTGGGGTGAGGGGCAAGTATACGATAGATGCCAGGAAGTGCTTCTTGCAGAATCAACAGCTCAGAACAGGGTGACACAAAGGGTGGTCGAGGCCGGGGAGTTGAGACTCGTTTGAGAAACAGCTCGATGCTGTGATGGGGTGAAAGTGGGGCAGAGGTGAGATCGAATAGACCAGAGGTTTGTCAAAGCTCCAAGCTCTCTGCTCTGATCTTGTGCACAGTGAGTAAACCTGCTTCCAACCATGGCTCGCTCCATCCTTCATTACTTGCCTCTGATCCCCGCTTCCTGCCCTCACCTCTTTGCCTGGACCTCTCTCTCCATGACCTCCTGTTGCCTCTCCTCCTAGAGTACAACGCCAGGATCTCCAGTCTCAGCAGCTGTGGGAGCCCTGCTCCAACCTTCCACCGCCAGAGGTCTCTCTCTTTCTCCGGTTTGTTCCTCCCTTCTCTTCCTCTCTGTGTGGCCGGCTTCCTCTGCATGCCTCCTCCTCCCGCCTCTCTTCTCTTCTTTCCCCTTCATTGTTTCTGCTTCATGCTCCCGGAGGTGGGGTGGGGAGCAGTGGGTTTGCTCGGTGGGTGATGAGATCCAGGTTGTTTGCTTTGGGTTATTATTGACTTACAGTGTTCATATCAGAAACTTTGTGTCACTGTGTGTATCACTGTGTGTGTGTGCGTGTGTGTCACTATGTGTGTGTAAAACATTCCTCTGACTCAACCCTTCACGCGGCTGAAACTCTGGTCCACGCCTTTATCACCTCAAGGCCGGACTATGGGAACTCTCTCCTCGTCGGCCTTCCCGGCCCTCCCTCCACACTGCAGGTCATTCAGAACTCTGCAGCTCGTGTACTGTCCCGCACCAGACACCGCGACCACATCACTCCCACCCTCACCCTCACTCCCACCCTCACTCCCACCTTCACCCTCGCCCTCACCTTCACCCTCGCCCTCCCCCTCACCCTCGCTCCCCTCCACTGGCTCCCCATCCCCCAGAGGATCGAATTCAAGATCCTCATCCTCACCTACAAGGCCATTCACGGCCTCGCTCCCTCCTACCTCTCTGACCTACTATCCCCCTACCTACCTGCCCGTACCCTCCGTCCCTCCGGCTCCGGTCTGCTCCACATTCCCCGCCCCAACCGCCCGACCATCAGTGGCCTTCAGCCTCTCAGCCCCGAGGCTCTGGAACTCCATCCCCAGTGCCTTCGCCGCTTCCTCCCTTTCCTCCTTCAAGGCCGGTCTCAAGACCTTTCTCTTCGACCTTCAGCCTTCAGCTCTCCTCTCGACTCTCTACCCCCTCCTCGCTCCCTCCCTTCCCTTCCCTCACCCTGACCATTTCCCCCCAATGCTCGGGTCCCGACCCAACTGTCCAGCGCCTTGAGACGTCCTCCCGACGTGAAAGGCACTCTATAAATGAAATCTTGTTGTTGTTGTATGTGTGTGTGAAGGTTGTTTAAGTGTAGAGTTGAGTTGTTGGCCTATCACTGTGAAGCATCTGGAGGTGCCAGGCTTTGGCTGAGCATGTGCTAGGTCTTGTGTTGTATGTCTATCACCTTGACTAGTCAATGAGAGAGAGCAGAGTGCGAGAGAGAAAACAGAAGAGAATGAGAAAGTGAGTTAAAGAACGTGTGAGAGAAACAGAGTGAACAATTGAGAGAGAGAGAGAAGGAACTTTAGAGAGCACAATTGGTAGAGGGTGCAAGAGAGATCGAGAGAGAATGATCAAGAGAGAGTGTACAATCGAGAGAGCAGTTGAGAGAAAGAGCGCAGTTGAGAGGAGAGCGATTGTGAGAATGAGAGGTTGACAAGAGGAGAGTGATTGTGAGAGAGCAATGAAGGGAAAGTGAACAAGAGACAGAAAGCAATGACATGAGAGAGCGAGAGCGACGGATACCAAGAAAACAACAACAGCCAGAGAGAGTGTGAGAGAGTACTAGCAAGAAGGAGCAAAAGCAAGAGGGAACAAAAGCAAGAGAGAATGATAGTAAGAGAGAGTGAGAGAGAATGATAACGAGAGAGAGAATGTGGTGTAGCTTACACAGCGAGAAGTCGCTGGCTCAAACCCGGGTCTGTGCTGAGTTTGCTGGCCTCAGCCAAGCTGAACGGGAAAGCTAAACTGAGCCAGGCTCTCCAAGGTTAGGGAGGGGGAAACCAGCCAGGATTCCTGTCCCGGAGTCCATCTAGAATACCCTCAACTGGTTGTGTCTGTGTGCAGCCACCAGGAAAGCTCAGGCCCAGGACTGTGATAGTCTCTACAGTCTGCAGTCAATCAGTGCCGCGGCCCAATGGGCTTGAAATTGGCCAAAGCTTACACATGGGCTGGGCACAGGGTTAGAGCGGGGCACAGAGGCCTGAACTAGAGCCCAGAAAACTATACACATCACTTTATAAAATGGGAAAGAGAGAGAACGAAGGAGAGAGAGAGAGGGAGGGAGAGGGTGGCTGAGAAGAGGAATGTGAGCACAGATTGGCTGACATTTCTGCCTTTGTTGCTGGTGGGCCCACGTTTCACTTTGCTGATTATCACAGTTTACAGCACACACTTGTTCAGCACAGCGGAGGATTGCATTTTAATTATCTGTGAAAAGTGCATTGAATTAAACGGCCTCCTCAGGGCAGTGTGTGTCACTGAGCTCACACTGCACCATCACTCCCAGCTCACTGACTACAACACAACATGTCAGCACTTTATACTCATTAAACTCACACTGCCAGGAGTCCTGCCAACAAGGAGAGAGGGGAAGGAGAGCGAGAGAGAGAGAGAGACAGCAAGAGAGAGGAACAGGGGAGAGAGAGGGGGAGAGGATCAGGATATACACAGAGAGGCAGCCACACAGAGAGAGAGAGAGAGAGGAAACAGAAAGAGGAGAGGAACAGAGAGTGAGAGGAGCAGAGAAAGTGAGCGAGGGACAAACGGAGAGAGATAATAGCAGAGCAGGTAATGGTGCGAATGGAATGGCTGAGTCAGGAACAACAACAACAAGATTCCATTTATAGAGCGCCCTTCACGTTGGGAGGACGTCCCAAAGCGCTGTACAGTTGGGTCAGGACCCGAGCATTGGGGGAAAATGGTCAGGGTGAGGGGAGGGAAGGGAGGGAGCGAGGAGGGGGGAAATGGTCAGGGTGAGGGGAAGGAAGGGAGGGAGCGAGGAGGGGTAAATGGTCAGGGTGAGGGGAGGGGAGGGAAGGCAGGGAGTGAGGAGGGGGGAAATGGTCAGGGTGAGGGGAGGTAAGGGAGGGAGCGAGGAGGGGGTAGAGAGTCGAGAGGGGAGCTGAAGGCGCGGTCAAAGAGAAAGACCGGCCTTGAAGGAGGAAAGGGAGGAGGCGGCGAAGGCACTGGGGGATAGAGCAGGAAGGTGTGGTGGGGGGGATTCCTGGCAGTGCTGATCCACTCCCACACTGGGCGTTATGGGACGTCAGCCTTCCCAACAAGACATGGAGTGAAGAGCCTCCCCCATCCCAGTATCTGACATTCCACAGTCTCTCCAGAGAGGCCAGGAATGCTGGCCGGAGCTTCCTCCCGCTATTTATTCCATGCAGGATTTATACCAGCTCGTAAATGTTATTCCTGAGCATTCTGTGTGGCGATAGCTGTTTAGTCAGTTTATCACATCACACACTCTTCGCTCCAAAATGTGTTCTCACCTTTCCCTGCAGACACAGCTGATAGACAGAGACTAGACAGACACACACACACACAGAGCCAGCAAAACAGAGACAGCTAGAGAGGCAGACAGAGTCAGACACACAAGGCATTCACGCACAGACAGACAGCTAGATAGACTGACGGACATTAACCCATAGACTGCTGGCAGTCTGGAACAGATATCACGTGAAACCCCACAACACTGGATCCCAGTGTCTTGAATCATTAATTGTTCCTGTGTGTGTGTGTTGTAGAGAACAGCTTGTGTCGGCCTGGCTCAGCGGTAGCACTTTCTCTTCTGAGTTCAGAAGGTTTTGGATTCAAGCCCCACTTTGACGTGGAACTCATATAGTTTACGCTGTCGCTCCAATGCAATGCTGGGGGTGTGCTGCATTGTCAAAGGTGCCGTGCTTTGTTTGAAATGTTAAAGTGAAATCTCATCTGCCTGTCTGTTGGACATTAAATATCACACGACACTATTCAATAAGAGGAGGAAGTTACTCCCTGTGTCCTGGCCAGCAATCTCCCAGAGTAACAGCAAATTGCTCATTCACCCCATGGCTGTTTGTGGGAAGTTGCGGTGCAAAAATTGGCTAGTACGTTCACCCACAAAATACACAGTCACTCCACTTTACAATATGACCTGTGAAGCGCTTTGAGATGTCTTGACAACATGATAATGCGCTGTGTCAAATGTGAGGATTGTTACAGCAGGATTCGATATAGGTATCATAGAGAACAGCTGCTCGCGGTGTCTCACTGCCAGCTCCGGTGTGGACAGTACATGTCAGCTGAAGGGAACCGTTCCCTCTGGCAGTGCTGTACGGCTCGTGTGTGTCTCAGCGCTGGCTCTTGGGCGGAAGGTACACACTGTGTTACAGGGAAACATCCTCTCTGTATGGCCTGGATTTCGTGTCAGGTAAGTTGGATAAATCAGTCTTTGTTGAAACAAAAATATTTGAATGATGGAATCTCTTTGTTTCAGGGATGAGATCACACGGGACAAGTCCGGAGGAGATGGGCATCGCTCCACGGAGACGAACGACCAGTGAGGGGCAGTACGAGAACACGGGGAGAGATGCCGGCTACAGGAGCCCCCCGTACCGCTCCCCAGTGCGCTGTGTCTCACCCGAGGTGGTCAACACAATTGCTGCTAACCCCGGTGGCAGGCCGAGAGAGGTACGGTGATGGTGAGACTGGCACAGCTTGAGGGGGGGAGGTGGGCACAGGGCAAGGGGAGGGGGTGCACAGGGTGAGAGGATGGGGGCACAGAGTTAAGTGAGGGTACAGCGAGGAGTGCACAGGGTGAGGGGAGGGCACATAGCACTGGGATGGGGGAGGGGCACAGGGTGAGGGGAGGGCACATAGCTAGGGGGTGGGGGGCACAGAGCGAATGGGGGGTACAGTGTGAAGTGTTGACCCACTGTACCTGATTAAACACCGGGCACTTTGCTTCAACAGCCGAACATCCACAGTTACAGAGAAGCGTTTGAGGAGAGAGATAGCGTGCCAACCGGCCTGCCTGGCACAGGTAAGCGTTCCTCCCTTCCCGTCTCCTCAAACCTCCCGACCTCACGCTGCAGAGCTGTGGGTTTACAATAACACCTCCTCTGTTTGATCAGTTTCTAAATGGCAAAGTGTCCAGTATGGTGACACGTTCCAGGCAAACATTTTGGTCTGGTCAGTGTGTTGACATGTTCCTCTTTACCTGTTGCAGCTCGATCTCCACCTGGTCTCACCATGACTCCACTGTCAGCCCTGGGGCTGAAGCCTCACAATCCAGCCAATGTCATGCTGCAGTCAGCCATGCTGGGTCACGGTAAGTGTCAGCTGTGTCCTCCTCCAGCAGCAACGCCAGGAACACAACCCAGAGGTCTACCTGGGGGCACGATGGGGAGAGAGAGAGAGCAGGGAATGGGGTTAGTGAGCCCCAGCACAGACACCATGAGGAGAGAGAGAGAGAGGGAATGGGGTTAGAGATTGTATTTAATATTGTGTTGTGAACTCTGCAGCTCGTGTACTGTCCCGCACCAGGCTTCGGGACCACATCACTCCCACCCTCGCTCCCCTCCACTGCTCCCCATCCCCCAGAGGATCGAATTCAAGATCCTCATCCTCACCTACAAGGCCATTCACGGCCTCGCTCCCTCCTACCTCTCCGACCTACTATCCCCCTACCTACCTGCCCGTACCCTCCGTTCCTCTGGCTCCGGTCTGCTCCACATCCCCCGCCCCAACCGCCCTACCATCGGTGACCGGGCCTTCAGCCTCTCAGCCCCGAGGCTCTGAAACTCCATCCCCAGTGCCTTCGCCGCTTCCTCCCTTTCCTCCTTCAAGGCCGGTCTCAAGACCTTTCTCTTTGACCGTGCCTTCAGCTCCCCTCTCGACTCTCTACCCCCTCCTCGCTCCCTCTCTTCCCTCCCCTCACCCTGACCATTTCCCCACTGCTCGGGTCCTGACCCAACTGTCCAGCGCCTTGGGATGTCCTCCCAACGTGAAGGGCACTCTATAAATGGAATGTTGTTGTTGTTGTTCATTCCTTCTGTTCCTCTTTTCAGAGCCGAAGAGTTACGTGGAGTCGATCGCACGAACAGCGGGGCTCAGGGGAGGGCCCAGCGGTACTGTGAGCTATAGCACAGAGCCTGCAACCAGGAACCCCTTCTCACTGATGTCCTTCACCACCCCCAGCCCCCTGTCCACCAGCAGCCCCCTGCCCGGCCTGGAGAGGTGAGGGCAGCCGCCAAACACTGTCAAATTAGTCATTGTACACTCGGTGCCCAGGCCAAGGCCTGGATCACACCCGCACTCACACTGACTAACTGTTGTCTCTTAACATTGAGAAATACTCTCGTCAGTTCGGTCGCCGGTAATTTAATAATTTCGGGAGAAACATCGCCAAAGTTTTTCTACAATCCTGTATCATCTTATGTTTCAAGACAAAACTGTCTTGTGGGCTCAAACTGGGTGACATGTTTGACAAAGGAATGTGGGGATCGAGCCCCCTCTCTCTGTGACGGTCTCTAGTCCGGTTCCTGAGCCAGGAGGGGCCGCAGGGTCCCAGGGCACTCACCCCTGATGGCAGCACAGCCCGGCCCGGCTCATCAGCAGGACCTGGAAGGGCCGACCAGTCACTGGGGGCCGGGAATCCTCCCCTCAGCTCCTGTTAACCCTGCAGCCAAAGCCCTAACTAACGGGGAGGGGGTTCTGAGCTGGACAAGCAGTGGGAAAACTTGGCCGGACAGTGCTCTCAATGGCAACCTTCCATTCCAGACACAGGAAAATATCTATGTGTAGACGGCATAAATATATAAAGCCCTTAAGTCTGGTTTGGAGATTCTTAAGCATGCACCGTGATGGGTTTCTGTACGTGTCAGACTGTCGAAAAGAACCTAAAGGGAATTGAATGGATATCTCCGCCCTTTGATAGAGGATTCAGGATATTGTTAAAATCACGTCCGGGGATGGTTAGAAATGAGACCAGGAGCTATGTCTTCACAGTAAAGCTAGTGAGACGGTGGGGAACACAGCCCTGAGAGGCCGTTAGGTGAAATCGATCAAGATTTTAAATTAATTGGGTAGAGACTTGGGAAGTAAGGGATTAAAGGGGAGTGGGAAAAGGTAGGGGAAACGGGATCAACTGGGAAAGTGGCTGGGCATCTGTATGCTTTCCTGTGGCGCTATTTTCTGACTGAAACGCTAACATTTCTATATGAATCTCTCCCCAGCACTTTGCTGTCCAGTTTCCCGATGGTGGACAGTACCGGTCGCTTGGCCTCTCCACACCAGTCCAGTCTGTCACACCCCTCCGACAGGGACTCCAGCTACCTGAACCTGACTCCCCCCATCCACTCACATGACACAGCCGGGACCGGCACGAGCCCCTCGTTGGCCAGCTATCTGCAGGGTCCTGACTATCCCCCCTCAGCTCTGCCCCAGGATGGGCTGATTGGTTCCCAGCCCTCCTTGGTGGGCAGCCAGGGCAGCCCCCAGACCCCGCACAGGACGGTGGGCACCAACACGCCCCCCAGCCCAGCCTACGGGAGGAGAATGACGGGTGGTGGGGTCACCGCGCCCCCCGGGAGCCCCAGCTTGAGCAGACATCCAATGGGGGCGCTAGGTGGCAGCTCTCGGAGCCCTGTGCTCTCCCGACACGGGGGAGGGGTGGGGAGCTCTCCCCCCACCCCCAGCAGCCCCAGTGTGGAGAGACACGCTCTGTACGGACTCTCCACTCCCGCCTCCCACACAGATGATGGTCACGGGAGCTTCTCCTACCTGGTCAGCTCCTCCGGTTACCCATCCCCCGGCACGCCAGCGTTCCCAGTCTCTCCGGCCTATTACCTGCCGGACGGCAGCTCTCCTCGCCGAGGGAGCCCCGCGGGCACCTCACAGCCGCTGCTGCCGGAGAAGAGGAGGATGTCCATCGGGGAGCGGGCTGGGGGCTCCCCCAACTACTCCACACTGAACGGCAAACCAGTGACCCCCAGCCCCAGCACCGCAGCCCTCCACCACACGCTCTCCCTACACGGTAAGCCTCTGCTCCTGCCGTGCCATCGTTCAACCAATATTCCTGCCCATTCTGCCCCCTCTCGCTCACACTCCTGCCCACCCTGGCCTCGATCCCCCACACTCTCACTCACACCCTCACCTGCCCACCATTCTTGTGCCCATTCACTCTCCCGCCTGCCTACTCATTCACCTGCCGCCTGCTCTCTCATCCACCAACCTGATCTCTGACAGCAGGGCAGTCTATCGCCCATCCTCTCACCCACCTGCTCTCTGTTAATCACTCTCTCTCTCTCTCTCTGTCGCCCTCTTTCACTCTCACTATCTCTGACTCCCTGCGTCACTTGTTCTCCCTCTTTCCTGCTCTCCCTGTCTCTCTCTCTCTCTTTCTCTCTTTCTTGCTCTCTCTCTGTCACTCTGCTCTTCCCTCCCTCCTACACTCCCCATCATCTCATTCTCCCTGTCTGGCTCTCTCTCTCTGTCTATCTATATCTCTCTCTGTCTGTCTCTCTCTCTCTCAGATGGAAGTCCTGAGACAAGAGCTCAGGTGAAGTTTGTACAGGACACGTCTAAGTACTGGTACAAGGCTGACATCTCCCGGGAACAAGGTAAGGCTCAGCTTCTAACTCACTGTTTAAATGACACTATTTATTATGTTATTATTATATATGTGAGCTCCCAGAGTGAGTGAGTGTGTGTGTGGAGATTCGATCTCACTGTCTCTTCCTTGTTTTATCTCTTTTCTTCTTTCACTCCTCTCTCTCTGTCCTCTGTCCTCATTTTCTCTCTCTCTCTGTTTCTCTCCATGTCTTTTTCATTCCCTCTTCCTCAATCACTTTCTTCCTCCTCTTTCCCTCCTCTCCATGTCTTCGTTGTTCTCTCTCTCTCTCTCTCTCTCCTCTCTCTCTCTCTCTATGTCTTCCTCAATCTTTCTTCATCTCTCCCTCTCTCCCCCTCTCTCGCTATGGCTGTGCCTAACAGCGATTGGCCTGTTGAAGGACAGAGAAGCGGGAGCGTTCATCATTCGAGACAGTCATTCGTTCCGCGGAGCCTACGGCCTGGCTATGAAGGTCTCCTCACCTCCCTCCAGCATGGTGCAACAGAGCAAGAAAGGTACTGTCTCCCCCTCCCCCATCCACACCCCCATCATCACTCATCACCTCGAGAGACATTGGCGCACGACAATGTCCCCCCCCCCACAGCGACCGGGGAGGTGAACAAGTGATTAACCTCCGGGGAGAGCAACCTCAGATTTTAGCAGCTGCACAAACCAGATTTTAGGATTGACTCTGAATTGAAGACTTCTCCAAAATGACAACCAATGATACATTGTAGGACGTTGATCTTATTGTGGAGAATGTTGAGATACAGTCTGAATTTAGAAGCTGGTTTTCCGCAGTTCATAAAACGAAACCAACTTGTAAATTAAGGCTGGATTTAGAAACGTACCATAATTCTGCTTTATGTTATATATTTAAGACAAAAAATGATTTGAGACAATTGGGCTGAGGCTGGGAGGTGTTTGCCTGTGCTGGGCTGATGTCCACGTGTGTGTAGCCCCCCCTAGTGGGGATGGTCAGCACTGCTCCTGCGTGAGACACTCATTGGATCATCACAACATTCACCTTCTCTCCAGGAGACGTCACCAATGAGCTGGTCAGACATTTCCTGATCGAGACGAGCGCCAAGGGAGTCAAACTGAAGGGCTGCCCCAACGAACCGTACTTTGGTGAGGAACAAACTAGCACCTCCTCCCCTCTCCCTCACTCTTCCCTCCCTCCTACACTCTACACTCCTCCCCTCTCCCTCACGCTTCCCTCCTTCCTACACTCTGCACTCCTCCCCTCTCCCTCACGCTTCCCTCCCTCCTACACTCTACACTCCTCCCCTCTCCCTCACGCTTCCCTCCCTCCTACACTCTACACTCCTCCCCTCTCCCTCACGCTTCCCTCCCTCCTACACTCTACACTCCTCCCCTCTCCCTCACGCTTCCCTCCCTCCTACACTCTACACTCCTCCCCTCTCCCTCACGCTTCCCTCCCTCCTACACTCTACACTCCTCCCCTCTCCCTCACGCTTCCCTCCCTCCTACACTCTACACTCCTCCCCTCTCCCTCACGCTTCCTTCCTTCCTACGCTCTTTGGAAAGTGTGCCACAGTGTACCGGTGAGTGTTTATCAGTGTGAGTGAGTGTGTGTCAGTGTGTGAGTGAGTGAGTGTGTTATATCGGTTTGATGAGTGTGTGCGGCAGCCTGTGTGACTCGGTCTCTCTGTGGTCTCTCTCTAGGCAGTCTCTCAGCCTTGGTGTACCAGCACTCAATCACCCCCCTGGCATTGCCCTGCAAGTTGATGATCCCGAGCCGAGGTAACTGCACTCACACAGGCCAGCGCTGTGGAAGAGTGAGGGAGAGGGGGTGGGGGTCAATGCTGGATGGTGGGAATTGTTTAGGAGTCAGCTCGGCATTGTACTGGGAGACAGGGCAGGGAATCCGGAAGGATGAGATCAAATGGTTGATCTGAAGCTCCCATGTGATGATGTGACTGAGGGCATGAGAGGCTCTGTCCTGAGCCCGGCTGGTGTCGGCCTGACAAACTGCAAGAAAATCACACATTGTGCATGTTACATACAGAGCATCGCTGAGGGGTATGTTCAGTCAACTCTACTGTGTCTCTGACCCTGACCTGGGAGTGTGGACGCACAACAACAACAACAAGATTCCATTTATAGAGCGCCTTTCACGTCGGGAGGACGTTCCAAGGCGCTGCACAGTGTAGAGGGAGCTTTACTGTGTCTCTAAACCGGATCCTGGGACTGTGGACACACAGTGTAGAGGAGCGTTACTGTGTCTCTAACCCTGACCTGGGAATGTGGACACACAGTGTAGAGGGAGCTTTACTGTGTCTCTAACCCTGACCTGGGAGTGTGGACACACAGTGTAGAGGAGCTTTACTGTGTCTCTAACCCTGACCTGGGAGTGTGGACGCACAGTGTAGAGGAGCTTTACTGTGGCTCTAATCTTGACCTGAGAGTGTGGTCACACAGTGTAGAGGAGCTTTACTGTGTCTCTAACCCTGACCTGGGAGTGTGGACACACAGTGTAGAGGAGCTTTACTGTGTCTCTAACCCTGACCTGGGAGTGTGGACGCACAGTGTAGAGGAGCTTTACTGTGTCTCTAACCCTGACCTGGGAGTGTGGATACACAGTGTAGAGGAGCTTTACTGTCTCTAACCCTGACCTGGGAGTGTGGATGCACCAGTGTAGAGGGAGCTTTACTCTGTCTGACTGGGAGAGGAGATGATCACATTGACTCTGTCTCTCGCACTGGATTCTGGCTGTTTCCAGCGGCTGCAGATGTGGAAAACATCTGCTGAGATATTGACTGGTGCCAGACTCCAGGCTCACTCACATCTCCACACTGGGAATGGTTTCCAGCAACTGACAGTCTAAAAAATGGTCTTAGGCTAAGAAAAGGAGATTCCTCGGTCTGTGTTCACTCCCCCACACCCTTTAATATTCCTCCTTTTCAAACCTGTCCAATTCCCTTTACGAAGAAATGACAAGACATACCCCCCTCCCTCCCTCCCTCCCTCCCTCCGCCCACCCCGCAGTGTAAAGACAGAGTTTCTAACCTCCCCTTTAATTCCCTTTTGGCATTGACTTCAACGTTGGCCTGTGATGACTGACTGACAACCCAATTAGTCTGTTGCTGTCTGTTGTTAGTTATGATAGTTCCTGGTTACTGATCTGACAAGTCACTGCGCTCACTCTCTCCCCACCTTGACCTGTGCTCAGCACAGCTGGCCTGGGGGATGGGGTGGGGGGTCCTTCTCCTCTGATCTGGGTTTCACTGCGGTTTCTGTACAGCGATGCCTCAGTTGCCCGACCCACTTATGTGATAAGATTATTGTTATTGATTATTAATATTCCTCTGCTCTCCCCTCAAACCTGGACCCAGTTCACACCCTCCCTGCCCTCCAGCTGATTGTACCTCCTCTCTCTCTCGGTCTCTCTCTCTCGGTTTTCAGGGGACGTGGTGGCAGGAAACCTCATATTCCAAACTGGTGGGAGGATGAATGGCTTAGTATTATGCAGGTTTAACCCTCCCCCCCCCCACCCCACTCCCAGCCAATTGCGCACAGCAGCGTCCCACAGACAGTCGTGGATTGAGTGACCCATTTATTATTATTTTTTTGTTTGGAGGCATTATTATCCCTGGAAAGTGATCCGCCAATCAAATAACAACTGAGTTCCTACGTACTGCTAGGTAAACAGAGGCGTGTGAAGTCAGAAATCTTGGCCAACGTTACGCCCTGCCTGGGAATCAAATCCAGGCCTCTCGCTTGCAAAGCAAGTGCTCTAACCACTGAGCTACAGGACTCTGCAATTTGGGCAATAAAGCGGTAGCACCACTGGAGGCAAACTGGGGTGGAAAGCAAGTCATTTTGGTACAGAGCATTGTTGCTAACAGCCTCTCCACCATTCCCCTCCCATCCAGACCTTGGGAAGCTGGGGTTAGGGCAGGGTTTAGCGACACACACTTTGGCCCATTGCTGACCCTCCTGTGCTTCCTGTCGTTCTCCCAGACCCCGTGGATGCACAGCCAGAGCCTGCGGCCTGCACCAACTCGGCCGGAGACCTCCTGAAACAGGGAGCAGGTCAGTCACTTCAGGTCTAGCCTGACACGAGTGGCTAATAGACCACGTAGAGAGCTATTACCACCTTCTGTGTGATAGAATATTCTAACTCTGGCTGTGACCTAACCTCTCTCTCTCTCTCTCTCTGTGTGGCCTCGCTCAGCCTGTAACGTGCTGTTTGTGAACTCGGTGGAGATGGAGAGTCTAACAGGTCCCCAGGCCATCGCCAAGGCCATGTCGGAGACCCTGAGCCTGCAGCCGGCCCCCGCCCCCACCGCTGTCCACTTCAAGGTCTCCTCACAGGGCATCACCTTAACTGACAACCAAAGAAAGTAAGTGCGTAGCCTCCTGCCAACTAGCTCTGACCTCACTGTCACTGAGGTCTGTACTTTCTGTCTGTGTTTCCGTGTGTGTGTGCGTGTCACTCTGTGTGGATCCCTGTGCGCATGTGTAAGTGTGCATCCCTGATTGTGTGTGTATGCATCCCTCCGTGTGTGTGTGTGTGTGTTTGTGTGGATTATGTGTGTATGTAATCCCTCTGTGTGTGTGTGTGTGTCTGTATCCCTCTGTGTGTGTCTGTGGATTGTGTGTATGCGCGTGCATGTGTGTTGTTTGTGTGTATCCCTGTTTGTGAGTGTGTGTGAGTGTGTAACCTGTGTAACTGTGGCAGAGGTGTAGGATCGTGGTGGTGGTGGGGGGGGATCATGAGAGGTTGAGGTGTTTCCTGTCATGACGCTCCTATTTGTCTCCAGGCTTTTCTTCCGACGTCATTACCCGATCAGCAGCGTCACCTTCTGTGATGTGGATCCACAAGAGAGAAGGTACCGAGGTTCACATGCTGTGTACATATGTTGGCATGTGCTCGTCTGTGTGTGTGTGTGTGTGTATGTACACATGTGTTTGTATACATTTGGGTTTGTAAGTGTGTTCACGTATGCACATTGTATGTCCAACAACAACAACTTGTAATTGTGTAGTGTCTTGTGTAGGTGGGGCTGGGAGTGCGTGCTCACTGTTTGCTCAGGGACAGGCTGAGCTCTCACCACCGCCTCTCCAATGGTTTCCTTGTTTGTGGCCAGAACAAACACTGTGACAGGGTCAAACATCACAGAGCAGATGCTCTACTCCATCACCTGCTGATCCAAGCTGCCAGATCACCAACACTAACCCCTGATCCCAGGGAGTGGGGCAGCGCAGACCTCCATCTCCTGGGTCTCTATGGTGAAAGGGTAGTGACTCTGCCCTACATTATCCTATACCCTGTACCCACCAGCCCTCACCACACACAGAGCTTCTCTCGCCCACACCCGAGTGGGGGAGAGAGAGAGAGAGAGAGAGAGAGAGGGGAACTGTGCAATCAATACATTTTGTCTTTCAGATGGACCAAGTCAGACGGGGGACCTGCAAAGTAAGTACACAGTGGCCAGTGCTTCCCATCACTCCAACACGCATTAGAGACACAGTAAAGCTCCCGCTACACTGTGTGTCCACATTCCCAGGTCAGGGTTAGAGACACAGTAACGCTCCTCTACACTGTGTGTCCACACTCCCAGGTCAGGGTTAGAGACACAGTAACGCTCCTCTACACTGTGCGTCCACACTCCCAGGTCAGGGTTAGAGACACAGTAAAGCTCCTCTACACTGTGTGTCCACACTCCCAGGTCAGGGTTAGAGACACAGTAAGGTTCCCTCTACACCCTCTATATAAAATATGCTATCACAAGGGCCTTGTAACCCTGACTCTGTCCTCACTCTGACCCTCCGCCGCAGTAGGGTGTCACTGGATAGCATTTAGAGTGTTGGGAGGGGAGCCCTGGCTGATATTCCCCCCATATACACACACAGACTGGGGGTTGGTGATCCCTCAGAAACAATGGCACAAAGTGGAGTACCTGAGAGGATGTGGGAATTGAGGAAAGTTCTGAAAGTGTCTCTCTCTCTCTTCCCCCCCACACACAGGGTGTTTGGGTTTGTGGCCAGGAAGCAGGGCAGCACCACGGACAATGTCTGCCATCTCTTCGCCGAGACTGACCCTGACCAGCCCGCCACCGCCATCGTCAACTTCGTCTCCAAGGTCATGATCGGCTTCCAGAAGAGATGAGCTCAGCCACGAGGGGGGAGGGGAGCGAGGGGGAGAACAAGCCTGGCACACACACCAGAGGGCAAAGGGCACGTAGGAGTTTAATCCACGGATGGCAAAGAGCAAGTGTAATAGGGCGACGTGGGGGGTAGAGAGGGGGTATGCTGTAATAAAAGGAAAGGATCAGGGTGTGTCCTGTGGAGGGAATGGGCAGAGTTTTACAGAGATGAAAGAAATGGGAGAGACGTGAGTGTGCCATTGGCGATGACGCCACCGAGCACACTAACAGGCGGTGTCACTGTTTTATTGAGATTGATCTGTATCTAGCATTTCCCCCCACACTTCCCCACTCCCCCACACTGAGCTTCTGACACTACCGCTCACCTCACCACTGCCTCACCACCACCATCCCGGCACACAGCCAAGTCTGAGGCCTTAGTTGTGAGATTGGACTGAATTGTGACAGTGAGTCCTGACAATTCTGACCTCCCATCTCCCTGGCTTGGAAACCTGTCTCAGCACTCAAGCCACCCACCTCCAGCCAGCCCACAGCGCCAGCCTCCTGTCTGTCACTCCTCACCATTTACCTCCAGAGAAGCCCTACATCCCGTCACTCCCTTCCCGGTTACCTACTCCCAGAGCCTCAGACGCCATCAGAGGTAGACTGTTGTACCACATCACCCCAGCATCACTGTTTCCTTCTGCCATGAAGACCACCATTGCTTTGCCCAAGCGGGTGTCTGACACACACGGAAACCCATCACTGTGCTTAAGAATCTCCAAACCAAACTGAGAATTCCATGTATCCCACCTGTACATGGACATGACATGTCAAGTGACTGCCAGGATGGTGGCAGGTGATGTGGATGGACTTTGGTCTTCTTTTGCCCAACAAAGTCTTGTGCTCTCCACATGTTCTCAACACACTGCTACTGTAGCGCCCTCGTGTGGCTGAAACCTGGTACTGCACTTCCATGTCTGCCATTGGTCTGATGGACACATTTCCTCCCAATCCCCACCTCCGCTGCTCCAGCAATCAATGCTGGATCACAGCGGAGGCAGTTTACATACAATTTGACTCCAGTCACTTCTGTGCATCCACCTCGACTCAGTTTGCTCACTGGGTTGTTAGCTTCACTGTGGTATATAGTTTGGGACGCAAAATGTCGAGCAACTGCCAGGATGGTGGAAGGCAAACTAGATGGACCTTGGTCTTAATTTGCCAGCAAGTTCTTATGGTGGCTGTGATCTGGATTAGAGAGATAGCTGAGCCGAGGTGCGACAGAATGTGCATTTAATATCTAACGGCCTGAGAAGGAAGTGCTGAACACCAAGGCGATTGTGTCTAGACAAGGATGTCCTCTGTCCCAGTTGGCAGTGACATTGGTGCTGTGCAGATAAACTGCTCTGCCCAGATCTCACAGTATTAAGTCGGCAAATTCACAACCAAACTCCCTCTTTCCCCCATCCAATGTGTTTTTGCTCTAAACTTGTAGAATTTATGAGGCTTTTGCTGTGCTCTGATTGGGGATCTCTCTTTCTCTGAGACACGCAGACTGAGCTGGTGCGGAAATGTGACTCGGGCAGATTTACTGTTTATGTCACATTTCAGAGCTGCAAAACTTAGCCAATTGTTGAATTCAGCCTAACTCTGAAGTCATTGTCAAAGTGACGTACAGAAAACCAACTCGAAAATAATAGCTGTATTTAAGAATTCGCTGGGGCATTCAGCAGGTCAGGCAGCATCTATAGAGAGAGGAAAGTGACCAAAGATCATCGACCTGAAATGTTAAATCACTTTCCTGTCCCCATAGATACTGCCTGACCTGAGCCTTCCCAACGACTTCTGTTTTTATTTCAGATTTCCAGCATCTACAGTACTTTGTCTTTTGCTGTAGTTAAGAATGTGCTAAACTCTGACTTGTGAATGAACACACAGTAGCAGACACACAGACACAGGTGGAATCTCATCCAGGGAGGGATCCTTCGAGGGGAGGTTGGGAAACCTGCGCAGGGGAGCAAGCAGGTGAGAGAGTTAATTGAGCCCCAGCGCTGTACAGCCCAGAGACTCTCACTGTTAACAGCAAAGAGCACCAGTAACGCCCGAATCAAACAAAATATTTATTTTTGCTGGTTGTGTGGCCTCTTGTATAGACTTGTATATGTATAACACAAACATTTCCCTCTCCAGCGAGACAGGCAGCAGAGAGCGAGCCAGCGAGCACACCTTCTGAGGTGTGCACATAGGATGTGTGTATGTTGATGCTGGATTTTAATCATCTTCTATTCCTTTTTCTTTCATATATTAATATATATATTTGCCCTGTGCAATGCAGCACGTTGAGATGTCAGGCACTTGGAGATGGTCTTCCTGTTGAGTTTCAGACTTTGACTGTTGTGGGAAGGTTGGTGTTGAGGGGCTACACACCCAAGACCTCAGTGCAGTCACATTGCCACCAATCTGCCTGCTTTCCTCTTCTGTCCTTTCCTACCCCCACCCTCTCTCCAAAACTCCTTTCTCAGGTTCAAACCAGGACCCACCACCCTATAGAGATTAGCCCCCATTATTCAGTTTCTCTCTCTGTACAGACACTGCCAAAACCTTCCATGTGTCTGATTCTCTCTTCCTCCTACTCACACTTCGAATCCTCTCCTCTCCCCTTGAATCCCCCTCTCTCCCCTCTCCTCTCCCCTTTAATACCCCTCTCCTCTCCTTGAATACCTCTCTCTCCCCTCTTCTTTCGCCGAGTCCCCCTCTAACCAGTTGAATCTTCCCCTCCTTTCCCCTTAAGACCTCCTCTCCTCTTCCCCCCTCTCCTCTCCCTGACAATGTCCTGACGAGGCACAAACTCTTGCCAAAGAAGCGAGCACTCGCTTTCCTGCACTTTGACAGAAACAATCTATAATCTTTTTTTTGCGCATGTTCTTATGTACAGCTTGCGATGGAAATGTCACCCCACCTCAAACCCAGGCCACAGAATACAGTGTGCCGCATTCCCCTTCCTCTGCTTCCCAGCGATTCACCATTCACACTGCCGTGTGGAGTGACATTATTGTGCAGAGTCACGTTATTATGTGGAGTGATGTTGCCACACAGAATGATGTTACTGTGTAGAGTGACATTGCCACAGAGTGCCATTACTACACGGAGTGGCATTACCACACAGAGTGACATAACTGTGCAGAGTGACTTTACCGCAGAGTGATGTTACTGTGCAGAGTGACGTGACGGTGTGGAGTGATGACACCTGCTGATCAGTATTACCTGCCGAGGATCCAATGCATTTTAAAGATTCCCAATTGATAATGATCCAAGCTGCCCAGACTGAGTTCTGTATTTATATTGCTCCATGATATATTGTTTATATTTTATACCTGCTCTTTGGCTTGGCCGAGCTGTGAGACACAGCAGAGAGCTCTCAGTACACCTGTCCTATCCATGTACACTCGCCGTCCCTTTTGTACAGATATACTTACTTGTGTTGTGTGCTCTGCCTTCCGATCTCTGTAACGAAGGTGACTAAGCAGTTATATTAATACACAACTCATTGGAATGCTCATTGGCTTCCGTCTGCACTCCTTCCTTTCTGTTCCACTCGCTGTGTGTCAGCTCGTGTGTGTGTGTGCACAGTACACACAGGGTAAAGGGGACCAATTCTCTCCTGTCTGTGCTGTGTACATCTCACTGGCAGCTCCTTCCATGTACAGCACAGGCCGAGTCAAAGGGAATAATTCACACACCCAGCACGGTTCCACCACGAGATGCTGGCAGTGAGGTTGGGTTGGAGGTGCTGATTAACGAGGCAGTGAGGAGATAATTTAGCAAAGAGCAATCAGATTGAGGTGCTGCCTGTACCTGTTCACATCCCCCACTGCAATTTGAATAGAGAAAAGAATTTCTCATGATCTCCAAGCGGACAATCCCTCCTACACTGCTCATTCACCTCAAGGCTTTTTGAGGGACATCACTGTGCACAGAATGGCTGCTGCGTTCACCTATATATACACACAGTCACTACACTTGACAGCCATTCCTTGTGAAACACTTTTAGATGTTGCAATAAATAGGCACTGGATCAAATGCGAAGATTATTATTAATAATAAAACCAGACTTTACTGTCCTGACATTGATCCACACGTCCCTCTCAACGAAGCCCCTATGCTGCCTGGCCACATGTTTCCCCTCACCCTCGCACTTAGCTCGCCCAGCCCAGCCCAGCCCAGCCCAGCTCACACAGCCCAGCCCAGCTCACACAGCCTCGCCTAGCCCAGCTTGCCCAGCCTAGCCCAGCTCGCCCAGCCCAGCTCACACAGTCCAGCCCAGCTCGCCCAGCCCAGCCCAGCTCACACAGCCCAGCCCAGCTCACACAGCCCAGCCCAGCTCGCCCAGCCCAGCTCACACAGCCCAGCCCAGCTCGCCCAGCCCAGCTCACACAGCCCAGCCCAGCTCACACAGCCCAGCCCAGCTCACACAGCCCAGCCCAGCTCACACAACCCCACCAAGGACTTGGGAAACCCTGGCTCGTGCCGGTCAGTCAGGCTGAGGTTGTGGAGTTCAGTTCACAGAGGGCTGGGCAGTGTGGGTGGGGGTGTGGGTGGGCACTACCCTGCGTGAGGAACGCTGTGTAACGTGGGTTGAGTGGTGCAGTTGCTTGTTCTGCTCCGGGAGATCAGATTCACACTCCGCTCCAGGCAACCACGGATTGCAGCAACTCTTGGCAAACAGCGAAGGAGAGCACTCGCCGTGTCTTGTGTTGGGATCAGAGCCACACTAATTAGATCAGCAATTGAGGTTTGGGAGAACAAATTCTGCCCAGAGGGTTAGGAGTCTGGTGATGAGCAATTTGGAGCCCTGATCAACCCACAGTGACTGACAGCTTAATGTGATCCATTCTCCCAGCACTGCAGTTCAAGTCTATCCAGGGCCCGGCTGCTAATCTTGGGATGTCCTCTACACATGAAAGGCACTGTATAACTGCAGTTTGTTGTTGTGCTGGACTGGCTGGGCTGAGGTTGGGTTTGGGTGAGGGCTGAGACAGTGTCATTCAAATGGTCAGTGATGGACTCTGGAATGTGCCAAATACTCTGCGATCTCAGTGAATGGATCAGATCACAACCCCCAGAAACATCCCATCTTAGGGTCAGAGTCACCATCAGAAAGCTAATGTGATGCTGGGCTTCATAACGAGGGGAGTGCAATACTGTATAAAACAAACCCACCCTCTGTGACGGTCTCTCTCTCTCTCTCGTCCACCCTCTGTGCTGGTCTCCAGCCCGGTTCCTGAGCCAGGAGGGGCTGCAGTATCCCAGGGCACTCACTGCTGATGGCAGCTCAGCCCGGCCCGGCTCATCGGCAGCACCTGGAAGGGCCGACCAGTCACTGGGGGCCGGGAATCCACCCCTCAGCTCCTGGTAACCTGCAGCCAAAAGCCCTAACGGGTAGCGCCTGATTGTACAATACTGGGGATGCGATTGTGAGGGATGGGGAGAGATTTCTGCTCAGTTAATACTGGATGAGAAGCTCACCTCACAAGGTAGAGCTGTGGGTGGTTGTGGAGGTGTGGGTTGTTTAGACCTGCTCCATCTTGTCTCAGCTCCATCGCTCATAAATAATCCACAGGCAATGCGTGAGGGAGATTGTGCAACTCCACTTTACAGAGAATTAAATCAGCTGTGAGTCTGAAACAGCCCAGGTTAATATACAGACAACATGACAGTCACACAATGTGCTTTGGCTCATAATTCGTTGAGTGAATTATAGGAGACCTGGAATGCAGT